TCCCCATGTCCAACAATGCCAAAAACACCATGCGATGCAAATATTCATACAAAAAGACCCAAGGCGACATCGAAAACGTCAGCTCAGACATGCGCCTTCTTCCTCCCTCTCTTCTCACCCTCCTTCCTCATGCGCCCCAACCTGGTCCCACTACCAGGCTGGCTCGCCCTCCACCACGTCAGGGGTTTAATCTTGACATGCCAACCGCATTCCTCCACCGATTCAATTCTCTGTTTCGAAACGATGTTGCGGATCTGTTCCGTCGCAACGAGGGGCATGTAATGGCCTGGTGCGAAGAAGTCGCGTTCGGCGTCGCCCCGAAGCGCGGGACTTAGTCATGAGAAGAAGTACTTTGATTCGCGGAGACGAGATACGTCCCAGCCGCCCTTTTGCGGAACGGGCGGGAAGCTGAGTGGGATCCAGACTTGAATCGTGCCCTGATCGTAAGCGACACGGGATGCAGATTTCTTCTTTGTCGCGTAACGACCGCCTTGGGGGTCTTTTGCAAGATCTTCGGCGTCCTCTTCCACAATGTCCATAGTGGATTCAGTGGTAGTGACGGCGTCCTCTTCTTCGCCCAAGGCCTCGTCCTTAACCTGTGTTTCCCTGTCGGCTGACTTCTTGTCTTTGGTCTCCCCAAGAAGACTGAGCCTGTACGAGTGGAGTGCCTTGGGATCCTGATTCTCAAGCCAGATGCTGGTAGGTGTGACCATCTCTTCACCCAGCTTCCTCTTCTCGGGATCGTTACTGTTGAGAAGCTCTTGCCGCTTAGCCTCGAGCGCAACTTCCTCGAATGAAGCATCTCCGTGCCGTGAGCCATTAGCTTTCGAAAGAATGCCCTTAGCTTGACGGCGCTCATGTCTCCACAGGGTAATCTTCCGACTAACGTCCGCGCCGATATGAAGAGTGGCACGGTACATAGCCCCTGCATAACGCGCAGTAAACTCTGCAGCGAGACGGTCGACGATGTCTTCAGTATGCATTCGTACAAAGGCGTCGCGGAGGATGACGTTGAGGTTGGGGATGTCAGAAGCGTGTGTCCAGAAACTGTCGTGTACGGCGGCGAAGTCAAGACCCATCTCGCTAGCCTTCAATGCCGAGAGCAACATGTGGCTCGCATCGAGAGAGTGAATGAAGTTGGGTGGAAACGCCTGAAGTTGTTTACGTTTGTCGACTTCATCCTGCTGAGACTTCTTGGCGACTGTAATGTCTTGGATCTTGGTCTTAATCTTTTGAAATCCATCTTTCCTGTAGGGCTGCACAATGGGCATCTTTAACGGGGTAGTCCAGATGATGCTAGTCGTAAAGCTCTCCATGGCCTTGTTGAGTTGCTTCAGTTGACCTGCAGAGACCTTTTGTGGCGCTTTAAATTTCGGATCGTATAGTGCTCCGGAAGGGTCCGCGCCATCGAAGCGGTCTTTGATCCGTTTGATTTGCTCAGCAGTGATTGATGTCGTGATGCGCTCGCCGCATTCGCCAAGCCAGTATTGGATTTCTTGAGCACCGTTGAAAATCTTACCCAAGGCGTCAAAGATCTTGTAGGCAATGTACAACGCGACGCTTCCGAGCGAAGAAACCTGTTTCGTAGGCTCGAAGTTAGGGAACAAGTTGCGTAGCTCGTCTTGCACCTGCTGCTTCGCTCCCATGAAGGTAACTCCATAAACATTAGTCATGACTGTTCGCTTCACGACTTTGCGTGTGATGTGACCGTTGATGAAGCAAGCTTGCGCTAGACCTTTCTCGGCGTCTTTTGCGACCATCTCTTTGACAAGTTCAGCAACACCAGTGTAAATATCCTGTGGTCTGTCGGAAGGCTCAAGGTTGACCTGACGAGCACCGGCGTAGTCACCACCGAGCGCTGCGTAATGTTGGAGTCCGTTACATGTTCCATCTTGATGAACAGGTAACTGTGAAACAAAACGAGTCGGATCAGGCAGATCATGGGCGTTCTTCAACTCCATGCAGCAAGACAGACATTGCCATGGGTCTTCCGCCTGGGTCCACCACCGTCTGCCGCCCAGAGGATTTGTCGCAGAGTCGTAAATCTCTTCCAGATTATCCATGGTGAATTGTTCACGTTCTCGCAGACTAGCCTTATCGTAGCCGTAAAGGTTGGCAAGATGGATCTTGAGCCACTGTAAGCCGACAGTACCGAGCTCTTTGCCGTTCGCAAACTTGAGGAGTCCTCTCGAGATATCGGATCCGATGTGATTGAGGATAGGCGGGATTGGATAGGCACGACCTCGGAAGTCGACGCTGTGCGGGAAGAATATCTGCTTTTCGTTCACGTATGCTCGTGCCGTCTCTAGCTGGAAGTTTTGGAAACACCGCTGCGAATGCAGACCACCCACGCTGTTCTCATATTCCTTCAGAGCCCTGCCCCACTTCGCCCGTTCCTGTAATGTGGCATCTCCAGAAGGTTCTTTGGGACGTTTGAGGTTAGTAACCGAGTCTTCTCCTACGAGAGACCCGATACTCTCGCCAGAGTTCCACGCCTGAGCCATGACCTCGAAGACAGGAGTGTTGATCTGCCAAGGTACACGACCGAGCACGTCCAGACCAGCCATGACTTTGTTCATGTCACCGTTTTCGATGGCTGACTTGGCATAAGCACGCTGTGCGCTATCACCCGCCTTTTGGCGCACGACCTTCTGCGGGATGGTGTAGTACCCCCCATCTTCAAAACTGGACCATGGTTTGGGTTCTACTACCATTGGTAGCCTGACTGAATGGATGGCATGCACAGAATCGGTTCGTAACTTGGTAACGAGCTCATGGTGAGGCACGAGTAAGCCGAGCTTTTTGCCTTGATGATATCCGACTGCATGATGGAAGGCGGCCATATTACGGGACAGCGTCTTGCCAGTTCTGGGGTCGTTTGCGGTCACAGTGAGGGTTGCGCTTTGAAGCAAAAGCTCTAGACAGAGGGCCCCAATCCGGGTTCGTACGGATAGTGGTATGTCGGCCTTTTCGATTTGATAGCTCATTTTCGGAGGTGCTGGTGTAGAAGAAGCCCCTTCGGTATCTTTAGTCTCTTTGGAAAGTTTCTCAACCAGATTCATCCTGGTCTGCTTGCGCTGCTTGCGGAGGAAAGCATCACGTCTCGTTTGTGACTCGGCGTTGAGGTAGTCTTGGACGTCGGTACCGATGGAAACAGACAGCGCGGCGACTTTGTAGGCGGAGTTGTCTTCGTCTTTACCCTTTACTGCAGCCTGAGTAGCGCGTGCAACTGTGATTGCGGCCAACTTTTCAGGCCTGCATCTCTCCAGCCAAACACCGTAGGAAAGGGCTTCATCACGCGTCTTGACCTTTTCGGGATCGGACAAGGTGTCCTTGACGTTTGCAATACGCTGCTTGAACAGCGGTACGAGGGCCAAGTACCAGCCATACATGATGGCCTGTATGGGCTTGGAGTTCATAACGCCATATATGCCAATCTCTTGCATCTTCTCATCTTCTTGTTTCCATCTCTCAACAGCAGCTTCCACTCCATCCTGTTCTATCTTCAGTTGTCGTGCGTATGCGTAAGCCCTGTCCTTGTCTTCTTGGGTCCCAGGCATGTCATGAGGGTAGGGAACGCTTGTCCCGTCGTCGAACATGGTGAGGGCTTGCTTCAGCGAGTCGAGACCCATGCCCTTCTGCCTCACGGGTTTGATGGGCTGTGCTGGATTGGACACCAGACCGTGGTCTATAAGGTTCTTGCGACCGGAGGGAGTTGCGACGTGGAGATCCTGGACCTCTTCGACCGAGGGGGGTTCGTTGAAGGACTCCGGTTGCAGGCGGATCAATAAGTCCCACTCCTCGTCGGAGAATTCTGGAGAGGCGTTGATCTGGTCGAGAACATGGTCGCCGTGTCTGCGTGCGGTTGCAATGTATTCCCGTACTGCATCTTCTTGTGCGCCCTCTTCTAGGAAACTCATAGCCGCCCGAATTAGAGTAACAAAAGTCTGCGCATTGGGCTGGATGCCCTTGGCGACCATGTTGTTCTTGTACCAGTCTTGAACCTTCTGCATGCCCTCGGCACTTGGGTCCATCTGGTTGCTTTCGAGCAGCGTCTGCAGATAGACATTGTTGGCATCCAAGAGCTCTGCAGCTTCGGGATTGAAGACGGAGGCGAGGCGGGCGATGATGCTGGCAGCCCGGTCCAGGCGGCCAACCCGCAGACAGGCGTAGAGATTCTGGTGTAGCTCGATAGGGTCGGCACCGAGGCCGTAGACAGAACGCATCGGTGGGGATGCCGCTAACGTGTCACGCACGACGAGAGGATTCGTAGCGTCCCATGGCTGGAGCCGCGACAGCTCAGGCGATTGGAACTGGCGTCCCAGCGACAGCGCAAACGGGTCGAAGGGGAGGGCCGAGGGCGGTGGGGGTTGCATCTGCGCAGACGTGGCGAGAGAGCGTGTCTCGTGCCGTGACGACAGTGAAGTCGGCCGTTGCCGCTGCCGTTGCCGTTGGCTCGCATCATGTGGTGTGTGTGAAGTCTTGCGGGAGAGCGCCGGGCAGAGCCATGGCAGCGTCAATTGCTGCGACAGCGTCGAGGGCGTCGTGTAGGCATTTCTGCGGATGTTCCGCCCTAACGCTCGTGAGAGCATGCCGTGGGAAGGAGCGTGGCGCGTGCAAGTCTACGGGGTATTAAACAGATAAGAAAGAAAGAAAACCTAGACTGCGCAACGCCAGAAGACAAGTGGAAGGGACGATGCAGTGAATCGGGGGTATCAACTGGACGTCGAGTTGCCTCGCAGTTGAAGTTTCTCTCTCATGGAAATTTTGGCCGACCATCAGATCCATGCCCGCGTCATCACCGAAACGGCATCGCCCCACCTTGGCGCCTTCCTCGCCACCCGAGCCACCAGCCACGGCCCTGCGCCTCTAGTAACAGATGATTACATAACATATCGATCATTCGCATCAGTACCAAATGAAAGTAATATTATGCAAAGATACACTCGCACCAGTACCAGATGAAAGTGGTATTACACAAAGATTCATTCGAAATGGACTCATCGTGCTTCTACACTTTCAGCTGTGGGTCTCGTGATCGTCCTCTCCCTCGTCGACGTCGCAATAGGTAGCGCATCCTCAATCAGCTTCTCCAATGCATCGTCAATCGGCGCATCAAACATCTCCACCTCTCTAGTCTCATCATCCACCCAGTCACTACCGTCCTCGTCTCCGAAGCAGAACAAATCGCTAGCTTCGCCCGCAACAATCTTCTTATGCTTGCCTTTGGGTATCTTGCAGCCTCCAACTTCCGTACGGAACACATCGGCGTACTCTTTCGCCACGGTAGATATGTTTGCGGGAGCAATATGTTTCCCGTCATAGAGAAGGTGGGGTAGATGAGGTATCTCGGGGAGGTCGCCTTTGAAAGGCAGTGCTTGGTGGAGGGGTACTGAGCCTGGGATGACTGGCGATTCGGGGTTTTGAGGTGGCTTGGGTGGTGCGTCGGCGCGCAGGAACGGCGCATCTGTCTCCTTTGGTACGGTTGGATTTTCTTTCCCGTCCTCAGAGGGAGTCGCGGAGAATTCCTCGGGGATGTGATATAGTTCGTTGTGGATGGTGACCAGTGCATTCTCCATTGTTGCGGGATACAGCAAAGAATAGCCCCGCGCGCGCATGAACTCGAGCATGTACTCTGTCCATGCCGGAAGGGTCTCGGAAACCAGCTTGCCCCGAGATGTTGGCTTGGCCGACTGCTGATGTTTCACAACACGGTTGCTGAGGAACGAATGCCATTCAGCCCATTTGTCCCCTAACAACAATGCCGCATGGCTGTTCGGGGCCTGCCACATGTAAGGCACGCTCTTAGCGTCAGGATACAGCTTCTTGTACCGGTCAGTGTGCATCTCGTCGGTCGAAGGAGCCTCCAACTTCGTCTTGCCATCTAAGAGCATCGGTGGTAACTCCAAGCTCATGCCCATGAGATGTTCGTTATCCTCTGCACCGTAAGTAGAGTACTTGTATTCCAACAACGCATACTTGACGAAGTGAAAGTACTGTGGCGATAGCTGAGCCTGCGGTGAGAGCAGCAGCACGTGGGAGTTGGTTGTGCTTGCAGGGTAAAATAATTCCAAGAAACGTATCGCCGCTTCCTCTTGATCATGGCGGTGGGTTGAGATGCGGCGTCTGATGCTGAGGCCGCTTGCTGTCGTTGGGTTGTCACTCTTCGGGGGCCATTTGAACTTTTCAATGTGCTCTTTGACTGACACATCGAGCTCGGCTGGTAGCTCAATCGTGATGCGGGGTAGTGTCAGACCGCTGTAATCAGCATCTTTGATCGACTCGAGTAGTCGAAGAACACTGGATGAGCCCGACGGGACTTGGATCAGAATGTCTACAGTAGGATCGTGCCAGTGCTTGAGCGAGCCGGCGTCAAGTCGCGAGACCCAGGCGAAGTCCTCTAATCTGTCCTTCGGTACTTCAACAAGAGGCATCTTCAGCGCACTGGTTTTAGATCGCATGCCTCGTACGAAGAATGCATCTTCAGACATCGAGTCGTCGATAACGACTGCTTGTGGATGCAAGAAGCTGTTGATATGCGACATGGCTCCTGTCACCGCCGTCTCAGCGCGTACATCGGTACTATACCTATAAGCAGTCTTTGATCAGCCCTGACTATTCTTAAAGAGTCTTTGCACGACATTCCTTGAAGACTCAAGACGTACAGTCGCGCGGGTGTACATACTCTGTATAATCCGGTCGCGCATCATGCCATACCGCAGGACACTTAACCTTGTCTATCCCATTTATCTCTAACAAATCTTCTATTGGTATATCCTCCCTCCCCATGAAAGCCGCGTGTACGTGATTCCTGTTCCATTGCGACATGTCGCACACCATCGGCAATAGCGTAGAGACGCTCTTCAGATTCGACATAGCAAATAGTATATTCCTATTCTTCTTCTCGTAGCCACCCGTTGCCGAAGCAGACGAGCGCAGCGAGCTAGCGAGACGGAAGAAGCGTATCTGCCCATCGTATGTGTGCGGGATTGCGTCTCCGCGTCTGGGTTTTTGTATGCCCGGGGGCGGTCCCGCAGGTTCGTCGTCGTTGCCGGTCGCGCCCGGCTTCTGATACGTCGATGAGATGGGTCGTCCGCGATATCGCTGTTCGACCGGTTCTTCGAGGTCGTCCGAGCTGCCGTGGAAGGTGTAGTACAAGAGGCATAGAGCTGCTATCGCGAGTAGTATCCTTCTCCGTCGCCAGCGGAATGTGTGGTTCCACATCGACCAACTGGACTGTCGCGCGGGTTTGTATCGGTGGTCATCGTCTTTCTTGCCCAGCTCTTCATCGCCTGGGAGCGTCGTCTTTCGATACATGGCGCCGCCAATGGAGCTTCGCTGTAATCACGCGTTGTACAGGGCCTATCTCTCCGCTAGCATTCATCCATGGCGATATCGGAGTAAATGTCGCGTGCGATTCTACGTGTGGGCGGCGGAAGCTGTGTGAGCATGCGACGGGTTGCTGACCTCAGCTATGGGGGTAATACGGAGGGTCCAGAATCGAGAGAAACAGATGCGCGAATCCTAAGATCATGAAAACAACATAACGGGTGGTTTGAGGTCCCTTCAAAGGCGTGTCGGAGGCAATGGAAGAGGACATCTGGAGTTGCGATAACCTCGATTCATTGTCCTCCGGAAAGCACATCCCTGCAACGCATCATCCCGCTCGCTTGCAGCTGCCGCCACGTGCCGTCTACGCTACTGCGAACCCTCTCCTGCTTCCCTCACAACTGCCATCTCGTCCCAAAATCACGCGTGAGCTGCCACATCATCGCTTCTTCGAGTGTCCGTATCAATGCGCTGTTTACGATCATCACGCCAAATTGCAACACAGCTGTGGAGCTTTACGGACGCCAAAAGCCATTTAAATTAATCAATATGCCCACGCCGGACCAATCTATCCATCTACTACTCACACCTTCTCATGCTCAGCCAATCGCTCATCTGCCGCCTTCAGAGCCTCACGCAGTACCTGCTCATTCCGCGGCTTGAAAAGAATCTGATAAGGCCGGCACATAGTTACCAGACTGGCAGGGTCTGAGCTGCCCCGGACAGGGTGCACGTCTACCTCCGACTCCGATACAAGCTCGAAGCTGTTCAGCATGCGCAGGAAAACGAGATACAGCTCGCGATTGGCCAACAATGAGCCTGCGCACATCCTGTAACCCAGCCCGTATGTGTGCAGAGGCGCATCGGGCTGCTCGAGCCAGCGCTCCGGGCGAAACTCGTCTGGGTCGCTCCAGACTTCGGGATCTGTGGGTTAGTCAGTATCGCTGCTCTTTATGTCGATGGTAAAGAATGAGAATGGCTTACCCATGTTGCACGCCCACGCGTTCAGATATATAGTACTACCGGCTGGAATGAGTTTGCCCTCATACATGACGTCCTTGATGGTCGCACGAGGCAGGGCCAGACGTAGTACGGTGTAGTAGCGCAGACACTCTCTGACCAGTGCGACGATATATCCGCACTTCTGATCGTCATACGCATCCGCCAGCGGCTCGTCCTCCGAGTAAAACTTTCGGATCTCCCTGATGGCCTTCTCCTGGATGTCTGGTCTTTGAGCCAGCAACGCGACACTCCATTGCACAAGGGTCGTGATTGTGTCTAGACCGCCAGACAACATCGTCAGACTAATGGACGTCAATTCTTCCTTGTTCAACGCGGCTTCCTTGTCCTGGATGATGTTCGCCTGGATACATGTCTTGTGGGTGCCTTTCTCCATCCGTTCGTCCAACTCGCGGTTCAACTTGGTCAAATACACATCCCTTCGGCGCCGGTGCTCTTTCGCAGACTTTGTGCCAGAGCTGAACGGGTTTAGTCTCAGCAACGGAATGTAGTCTTGCAAGTTTCCAGTCGTACTACGGAACTTCGAGATGGCAGCTTCGACCTCGCATATCTCGTGAAACATGGGATCGTGACGACTGCTCATCCGCGTTCCCCAGTTGAGAGTCAGCGCAAGAGAAAGAGAGAGGCGCTCGATCATAGGCATTGGGTTTACTCCAACGGTGCCGGCCATTCCTGATTCGAATCCGTCCTTTACAAACTCCTTCGTCTCGAGATCTAGGTGGTCGATGTATGTCGCAATCGAAGGCTTGTTTAGTGCGGCAGCAGCGCCCTTTCTCCGTCGCTTGAGCGAATCGTTGAAGGGCGAGGTTCCGATGGTCGTGCCAGCAGTGTTTGAAAGTACCTGCCATCAGTCAGACATATCAACACACCCATTTCTCTCCGCTTACCTTATGGAACGTCCAGAAAACTGGTCTCGAACTCAGTGCCTGGCTATTCCCACCAAAGATCTTCCTCGCAGCCTCAGCGCTGTTCACCACGATCACCGGCTCGTTCCCAAGCTGTATCTGGTACACAGCGCCAAACGTCTTGCTCCATTCCCGGTACTTCTCCGCCGCATTGTACTTGATATCCGGGATATTGCCAACCAAAGGCCAGTTCGTCGGCCCAGTAAAGCCCTTAATCCGCCGCGAGTATCGCACATATTCGTTTCCGACAAGGTAAGATATAGGAACAAGTATCAACAAAACGAACAAAGTGCGGACTGGATGATCTGCAAACTGCGATGATAGCAGCGGGAGAATAGTGGAGATCATGGTGTTCGCTAGTGGCTCCTTGCTGCGCTTGCCGAAACCAACGAGATGGTCAAAGGTTGATGATGGGCCACGACGCGATAGTAGCCTTTTACTAGCGATAGACGGACATTCTATATATCTACCGTTTCTCAACCATGGCGGCTTCCCCGGGCTTGACGTGGACGAGGCCGGCTAATGCGGGGAAGAAGGTCCGCTGTTGGGGCCGCGGAATTAGGCGATGGGGAGTGCGGAACTAGTGCGCGGAGCTACCACTGCGCCATTGTCTGTTGCTCTCAACATTTTCGAGGACAGGTTCGACGTTGTCGCTTTCGCAATCCAGAACGGAGGTTACGTTTTCGAGCGCTCTACACGCTCGTGTTGGGTCTACGTCACCGCTGTCTGCACTCAGGCTTCGCCCAAGGACCACTTCCCACATCTCCGCCTCTCGTGGTCGCATCACACCTATGACAGCCTCATAGTCATCCTCGAGCAATTGTTTCAAAGCAAGTTGCTGTCATGGATTACTCGACTCATTGTTTGACGTGGCCGGGTCGCTTTGACGGCACACACGCCTCAAGGTCAGTGCGCGACAATGCCCCTGCTGTCTATTACTCGATACGGTTCTCGCAAGGGCTTCACGGACGCACCAACATGCTCAGCCAACATAACCAAAACTTCTGACTCAAAAGTTTGTAGATATCTGGATAGACACATCGCGGGAAGCTCAGCTCTGGTGCCCACAATGCGACTCACAAACGGGTGATACCCGTGGGCATGTAAGTATCGCAATGAGTCTTCCCACCGTATTGATTCACCATCTACTCATCTATTGCTCATTATTTGGAGTCAGAGATGGAGTGCAGAGTATATAAGAAGTGCTGGCCGTAGATGTACACCACGGCACTTCCAAGCATTCAACAGGAATCAGCTACTACAACAATCATGCCTGAAATTACCAATCCTGACGCGATGACGGCTCCACGCGGATCATTCCGAAGGCTGACGAGGGTCGAAGAGCCTAACAGCTATATGGCTATCCTTCAAATCAAGGACATGACTCCCGCCGCAGGTTTCGACTCCAGCGCATCTTTTCATATAATTCTGCTCGGTCCGTGGGAGCGGGACCAGATCGTTGACAATACCCATCGGTGTGGAGCAACTTCTCAAAAGGATATATCGACTTGGTGCGACGGCCAAGGTTGGCCAGTCCAAAGTTACTACATCCCAAATGAGGATCACCATGGGGTCGTCAACAGATGCGTTGCAAATGCAGACGTATTGAAATTCGGGGAATTCATCCAAAACAAACCCGATCAATTAGGTCACAACCTACATTGGTGGGGAATGAGCAAAAACTGTATGTTGCCGAAAGTTTGGGGTGGTGGACCTTTTCAGGACGCATTCCCGATATGATAGCGGCGACTGATCAAACCACAGTGATTCTTGCACGTTACAGGGCTCTGAATACAATATTCGAGCATAATCTACACATTTCCCACGTAATACATGGAGACAATGTCAAACCATACCTCGTGGAGCCTGTGGCAGGGGAGACTTTACCTCCCCAAAGCAACACCTGGATCTTCAAATGCAGAAGAGCACCAACCAGATACGGGTATCATGAGATTTCGGGCTGGGGATATACGAATGACAGAGGTCTCGTCCTGAAGATCGCTGAATCTATGGGAAGAGACTTTGAGGTCAATGGGCTGAGATTGAAGAACGATCAAGAACTCAAGGTCTTTGTGATCGCGATGGATAGATTCACGACCCCTTTTGGGGTAGGTCATTGCTATCACGCGCCTGAATATCCACTCGCTGCTCATTCATGGGTAGTCCGAAGCGAGAATGGTAAGTTGCGTATGTATCGATAGGACAATGTGCTAACTCGGAAGCAGTAATGCACGAAATCGAAAGTAACGAGTGGGTCGACGACATGATAGTCAGGGACAAACACAACCAGGTTGTTGAGAAGAAGGAAGCATGGCGAATTGGAGAGCCCATCTAGGAAGCTCCAGTCATTGGATGCTATCTCGGATACGAGCATTTGTCTACCCATTGAAAAACACACTCTCTTTAAACTCAAATCTTCATTGATGTAGGAGACTATCGAAAATGCAGCCATCTTTTGTCAACTTCATCACGTTCCTGTAGTGGAAAACAACCTTGCAAAAGGAATGTTGACGCTGCTCTCACAAAGTGAGTAGCTCCTTTGCATAGGCTTGAACTCAGCTCAAGCATAAACCGTGTAGGGTTTCAATACATTGCAGTACATATAAGAGCGCACACGATAGTTGCTCTTTGCGCAACCTTATGATCTGCTCCAACACCCATTAAACACCATCTTGAACATTTACTCCCATTCATTGTCCAGGTCGTGGCTGAATACATGAAGAGTTCAAATGATATGTGCCCTTCCGCGTCGTCTTCTGCGGGGGTGCATCATGTGCTTGCCAGCGCAGCGACTATGGCGACATGGAACCTAAGGATGAGAAGTCACACTCAGTCGATTCTAGGCTTGTACAGCCCCAGAGAGAAGTCCATGTCACATCAAGGCTATGCAAAGGTGAATGCCATAGCTGAATAGTCCCACGCAACTGACGAAGAGTCAAAGATACGGAGACGACGACCGGAGACGATCGCAGCGAATCACAAGAGCCTCGTTGCTAAGTCTGGACAATGGCACCACCGCTCCGATGCGCGGCCCGCGACACGTGAGCAGCGCGGCACCGGAACGAGCTGATGTTCAAACACGTACCTGAGCTGCACATGGCACATGCAACAAACGTGTGGGGGGTTTGAGGCCCCCGTCACGAACGCATTCCACATCTCCAGCAACCCCACGAGCTCCCAACGCACAGCCTGATCACAAGGCATCGCGAATGGCCATGAGTATCAACGGGTATTTTGAGCGACGGACCGACACAGCGGTTGCGGTGAGCGTTCGTTCAATGTATAAAGCCGTGCTCTTCACGATATATGAAGGCACATTGATACTGGAGCTTTACATTCGCAGTTCTTCTTCACATTATTCCCGATCACATATTCCTACATATCAGCACCAGTACCCCCTCTGATTTCTTCTCTTCAAACCCTACATCACACTTAACACTCTGTACCTGCGAGAAGCATCAGCACTTACATGAAGGAATCTCCGCGCCAGGCGGAGAAGTCACTCCGCCAAAGCGAACACGAGCCTGGCGATACCTTTGCCGAACGGCATGTCTATACCCCGCTTGACGTCGAAGGCAATCGCAACTACTTGAGAGAGACCACACACAGTCCCCAGAATGCGGGAACCTCGCATGGATCCCGCGGGCCTTCCGGCCAACGCTACGGTCATGCAAACGACTTCAACCAATCTTATATGTCGGATACCGGATTCGAAGCGGCCGCTACCGTATCGCATATTCCACGTAACGCCATGCAGACATCGCGATCCGTTCCCCACAGCGACAACAACCATCTGCGTGGCGTCCATAGCTACGTTGATCTGACCAGCCCGAGCTGTCGGGACAGCGAACTCATGAGCAAAGGTCCCGCGCATGCATACTCAATACATCAGCGGTCTATCTCCAGGGAAGGCCCTTCGCTCGCGCCTATGCCGTCGACACAACGTTCTAGCTTGGCACCGCAGGCGGCACATCAGCTTTACGAACCGTTCCGGGGTCTTTTCAATGACTCCGGGCATGCGAAGGAATACCGACAGAACAAGATGCGGTTCAACCGTGAGCCATGGAGGGATCCCGCTACTGACCCGACTATCGAGATGGTTGAACGCGATCGCGACCGCAACGTAGAGCGCATCTACAATGCGATGGTCAGCGGCGATCATGCTAGAGACAACCCCAAATCAACCGCGCGGAAGAGATGGATCGAAGAGCCACATTACCAATCCGACTTGGTGGAAGCATACGCGCACAAGGTGTTTGACTGCCTGCTCGAGCAGGTCAGGAAAGGATTCCGCGGTTGGCAGCAGAACGATTATGTCAACGACGAGCGCAAGGGCGAGGACGAGGACAAGGACACCGACTGTGCCGGCCGGCTAGATAATATCGTCACCGCCCTCGCACAAGAGAAGTGCATTTGCGAGAACGTCATGTGCTCGGCGTGGCAGATCCGCATGTTTGTCAACGCACCCAAGGCATATTCCAAGCGCAAGGATCAGAACCGAGTGGGGAATAGCAAGAGGCCGAACGCCAAAGGTCACAGTGTACCTGATGACAATCCGCGCGCATCGAAGAGGGCTCGTACCAGCGCTGCTCCACGGACCGGACAGGCGCGTGGTCACTCTTCACCAGCTTCCGAGCTGCCATTGTCGCGTGGAAACACACCGCAAGAGTCCTCGGGACAGATAGGCTCACCGTACTTCACTACGCCAGTGGCCCAGCGAATGACGGCCTTCAGCCCTCCGTCTAGGTTTCTAGCACCTCAGGCCCCGGCCATGCGTCCTCCACCTCGATCATATCATACCTCGTTCGACCAACGTCACATCTCCGCAACATCGCCTCCTATGCAGTCATCGTTCACACAAGCGCAGACTCCACAGGGTCAACCTCTCTCACCGATCACCTCAATCTCACCTACTCAGCATTCGCCATTCCCACCCCCGGCGATCCCACGGAGCAGGTTCTCAGCTTCGGCTAGCCCCGACGACGTTAAGCCACCGCACAGGACCACAGACCCGTTCTTCAGTCCATGGGGACATGCAATTCGGTCAGATGCAGCCTCTCCTGACGTGTTCGCACGCTTGGATCCAGTCGGCAGCTCGGAGTTCCCAGGAGTTGAGGACTGGCAGCACGGTGTGGAACCCTTCCCACCAGACGACGCGTCGAGCAATGCCAACCTCTTCGCGCAACATCCTGAGATGGGTGTCTGCCTTGCCGATATGGAACTTTTGCCCGCGTTCACCGTGAATGACGTTGTAGGCGGGAACGTCTTCGACCCCTGGCAGCACCAGGACAGCGGGCACTGAATGTCAGGTACCCCCAGCTGTCGTCAGAACCAGTCCCGATACCATGGGTACACGTCAACCCAGCAAGAACCTGAACAGATCTGGAACCTGCATCGACGTTAGGTTACCTACTTTGCATGTTTCCATGTTAATATACGCTGCGGACCTGTTCAGTTTTCTTCTTGTACAAGGTGGGTATGTACTATCCTGGATGGCGAGGCGACCTATATTTGCATTTGCAAGCGCTAGGAGACGTACCCTAAACTTGCGGTGGTTTCTCCTGCCCTTCTTTCCTCTACTTGTTGACCACCTGGGTAGTGTGGCAACTAGTCCCGAATGATTATTTCCCAGTATACGTTGGCGCTGTACGACTTTGTGGTACTGTTTGTAATTGTTGTTTGGTACATTATCTTTTGTAATCCAGAGTCGTTCATTAATGAAGATGGAGAGCTTTGGCGGCGCTGTAATTAGAGTGTGGACTTCGGTCTTGGAGACGTCATTCGCGGAGCTGTGGAAGCTCTATTCTTATGTTGTAATCTATTGTTAGCCCGTAGTATAATGAATCGTCAATACTATATCATTCGTTCCGCAGCCATACGATGATACATGTGGGACGTGGATGCGCATTGAGAAGGGTGGTGGATCTGACAAGTACCTAGGTGGCCGACACGCCGGAGACGCGTCGCGTATTCTCGGTGATGGTGACGTCATTGACAGAACCGCGAAACCGATAGCTCTCTTGCCCAACCTCCCCATCTTTCCTGAGGATAAAGCAGCCAGGTCTGATCACCATTCGCGCAGGTGCAAAGCTCCAACTCGTCAGTGATATTAACAAATCTTAAAAGTTGGGCAACAGATGAAGTAGAGGGCAAATACATCACAAGCAACACGTTTCGACAAGATTTATAACGCCGCGCAAGGCGAGCAAATATGTGCATCATTGAATTGTATATTTACAACAGAATCGAACAGTAACTCTAGCCATCTTCTCCCACCTACACAATAAGTTTTGTATACCGTACCAATCGTACAAGGCGTCCGTCTAAGCGATTTAGACGCGGAAAGCACGGGGGTGAGCGCGCTGGGCAGCTACCATGCGGCGGACCTTGTCAGCGACACCGGTGCCAGCGTTGGCGCGGAGCCAGGTGATGAAGGTGTCCATGGTGAAGGACTCGGGGAGGCTGGAGTCGGAGCCAGAGTCGGAGCCACCGGTGGCGACAGGGGTAGCGGCCTCCTCAGCGGCAGTAGGGGTGGGGGTGGCAGTGGCCTCAGGGACGGTGCTGGAGGGAGCAGCAGAGCTGGCAGCCGGGGCGGAAGCGGCAGGAGCGCTGGGCTTGGGAGAAGCTGAAGGCGCGGGGGAAGAGGCGTTGCCGGAGCCGGAGCCACCACCCATGGTGAAGTCAATGCAGGACTCGTAGGTCTGGTCGATCTTGGGGGCGTCCCAGAACCACTGGATGACACAGTCACCCTTATTGGCGCACTCCTTGCTGACATCGGGCATAGTGATGTCGAACGAGGTCCAGTCAGGGTGAGCAGACATGGGAGAGGAGGTGAGGGCGTACTCGTCCCAGCTGATGAGAGGCTCGCCGATGACCTTGTCGGTAGCGATGTTGACGATGGAAACGTTGGCGACACCGTCGTGAGGAGCGCGGATCTCGACCTTCATGGGAATGACCTGACCGGCGGTGTACTCGAAGATCTCGCCAGCATCGGTGAATGGCACACCCTTGCACTGCCACGGGCGGCAGTCGGGGTGGTCACCCTGTCCGAGGTTCTGGAGAGCACCCTGGACGTTTCCGTAGTGGTCGGAGCTCTGGGTGTTGTAGAACTGGTCACCACAGGCAGCCTTGAGGCCATCACCGGGCATACGAGGAGCGGGCTCGCTGATGAAGCCGTGGGCGGCGACGGAGGAGGCAAAGCCGGCAATGGCGGCAGCGACAGTGTAGGACTTCATTGTGATTGTTGTTGGGTTGTTTGAGAAGAGCGAGAGTTGCTGTGTAGATCGACGGAAGACTAGCTTCGTGAACGAGTGTGATGAATGAATGTGGTGTTGAAAAGAACGTGAGGTCTCGGACCTAAGATGCACAAGGAAGCTGTGGTTGGAAGTGAAGAAACTGTTGTTTGATGGAGGAAACCCAAGAGTACCAAGATACCTATATACGATACGGCGGCATGGCACTATTCCTGTTCACCACTCAATCTGTGGGCCGTGTCATTAAACATGCGAAACAAGTGACCGATGGATTGCAGCCTCGAACAGCGCTTACTGTGCCCCCGATTCAAACGACTCCCACGCCCTGCCTGTTCCTGAGATGTCAGACGTGGCGTGGGTCCTCTTGTCATGCTTGAACCGGTTCATCCACCAGTCACAGGAGACCATGTTGTGACTAAGATCGCAGGGTGCCGTTCGATACTGCAGGCCAAGCAAACATGTTCCCGCGACAGCGGCCACCATGCCTGTTGACAGGAAACCAACCGGTTCTCGTAAGTGGCTAACCCTAGACGGCAGTATAGACGAACCGTCCGACCTGGTAGAAGCGCCCATGATCCTGGGTTGAAACGGTCGCGAGCGTACGGTGGGTTTCAGGTGCTCCGAGGCTTAATGCATGCGATTGTGGCGCTCCCCACCGACCTGGTCGGCCATATTGCAGGATCTTCAACTGCGTCATGTGTATCGATACCGCGCGCTACCTTTTCTGCGATGCATTGAACGCCATATGAAGATGTCGAAGAGTTTTTGTCCTGCGTTGGATGAAATCAGACTGAACCGGTGGCAGTGGCTTGATCGGAAGGCGGCTTCGGTGTGCGCTAGCCTTCGGAAATTGGTGGAGCCGCTCAATCTCGCGTGCGATGATGCTGAGTCGCCTCGATCCTTCTTCAACACCACGAGTTTATCTCCGAGGTTATGAAAAGCTCAGTGAGTGGAGATCGGTGTCCGGTCCAGGTGTCAGTGCTGTGTGTGTCCGGTCGGTGCGAAGTGCTCGCATGTATTGCATAGCGGATCTGGGTCATTCCCATGCATCCTTCTTGCCTTTTCCCGGCGCCGGAGACCGAATTACTTTGCGGTGATTAAACGGCGCCACATTACTTTGGAATGGCGTTTATCGCACAGTATGGCTATGTAAGAGTACTGCTACGGATGGACCGGATGCCGCAAAGAAGGTCGCTTGATCTAGTGTTTGATACAGAGTAGCTGCCAATGCGAACGTCTCACACGCGGTCGGCCGAGTGCTACTCCTCGTCATCCAGGCTACGGCCTTTGCCATCTACTGGTTGATATTCTTGTCTTCTCGTAGAGTTTCCAAAGACGTGGGGGACACCGTTGCCGAGAAAGCTTAGCCATACTTATTAGAGCCGTAGGTCTTCGAGTATACCCTCAGCTTCCGTCCAAATGTGTATAGTGTAGCGATCGTCGTGCGGGTTCGATTAGCTTCCGCATATACTCGTACAGACTTGGACAACGACTGGTGGTCACAGCGATGCCAAGGCATAGGATCAACGTGGAGTGAACAACATGCAGCGTGAAAGACACAGTCCAGGGTAGCTGGTTGCGATGCGCATTGATGATTGTTTACTCGTTCATGTTTTCGTGACTGGTGTTTGGGGCTGAGATGCCCGGGCGCAGTTGAATGTCCAAGGCGCGCTAGCGGCTCGTTTTGGTCCAGCGCTTCCAAGGTTGCGCGTCAAACATTCCGCTGTCTCTTCACCTTCATCACTGGACATGCAAGTTCACAACAGATATGGCAACGGTCCATGCATTACTGTACTAACTATGCGTCGCTGACCCGCCAGACAAGACGCTCCATACTCGCTTCTTTGCGTCTCAGCATGTCCATCGCCTTCTGCGCCCTCTCCAGCAGCGTCGCGCCCTCAACGATCCTTTGCTTTTGCGGCGTCACAACACCATCCTTCAACAAAGTCGGCATGATGTCGGGCTGAAGATGGTGTTTGAAGAACTCATTCTGGGGAGTGTTAGCTGCGCTTCTTTGACAAAGAACCGGTAAAACTCACGTCTTGGTAAAAATGTGTTCGTACGCCTCTTACATCGACCCCGTCATTCCACTTGGCCACTTTGCCCACGTCCATCTCATACTCTGGGTCCTCTGTCTCGGTCGAATCGCGCACAACCACGGGTAGTAGTACGGCGACCTTGGCACCCTTCTTCGCGAGCTTGGCGATCGGTGCGATGCTACCCTTCAGGCTGCCGATACAGTCATAGACCAGTGGAACTCCGCGGTCACCACCAGACTTCAGGACAGACTCAACGACATCTGGATTGTTGTAGTCGAACACCTTGTACGCGCCAAGGATGCGTAGCTTCTCGTGGTGTTTCTGAGACGCTGTCGCCAGAATGTTCTCGTAACCGTAGTAGCGCAGGATCTGGATGGCGAATTGACCCACTGACGAGGAGCCACCCCAGACCAATATCGCAGAGTCGGCATCGTCAGGCACATAACTCTCAGGTTTCGGCCAGGGTGTTTCCAGGCCCAGATCTGTCGTAAGAGAGTGGAATACGGTTACAAAGTTATTCGGAAGCGTTACAGCCTCCATCGGAGTGAAGCCTTCGGGTAGCTACAACACTTCAGCATTTGTCTGACAAATCGACAAGATGAGGGGTAGCTTACCTTGGCCAGAAGCCATTCGTCTGTAGTACAGAATTCCTGATAGGCCTTTTGAGCTTGGGTCTTCCAGGTAAAGCCGAACACTTTGTCTCCAACCCTCAGTCGCTTGATTTCCGATCCTACTTCGACCACGGTACCAGCGACACTGTCGCCAAGGACCTGAGGGTGCTTTACGAGTAAGGCCCCGTCGTTCTGGTGCAGATCGAGGGGTGTGGAGGCAGTCCACTCAACACGAAGGCGAACCTGCTGCGCTTCCGGGGTTGTAGTGGGAACTTGGATGATCTCAAGAGGCGCCTTCTTAGCCACTGTTGCGACGGCGGAGTGTGTAGACATGGTGAGCTGATGGCAAGTCTTGGCTTTTAACTGAACGTGAAAGATCGTCAGGGAAGATCAGATGAGAGGAAGGACTGTTCTGCTCAATGCAATTCTGCAGTCTCTACCCCTACTTATACTCTGTCGAAGTTCTGTTGCGCATCTTGAGTATTACAAATGCTAGTCGCATCTACAGACGCTAGCAAATATTTCCAGATTGGGGTTAGTTCCCATTCTTCGGCGAGATCGCACCAATCACGACAAAGGAGGAAGAGACGAATCACAACAGGAACAAGTGATGCTGTAATCCGAAGTTCTGGTGGATGGAAATGGATGAAATTACTTTTCTTGGTCCATAGTTCCAGTTCATTGGTACGCGGCGTTGTTGGGTATGTTCAGCAACCATGGTACACACCTCGCTTCCGCAACATGAACTTCGTCTGCGTGAGCAGCACTTCATCAAGCCCAACTATATAAACCGGTCTCTCTGTTTTTTTTGTAGAGATCTTTTATACTTCCCAACTCAGATAACCATACCAAAGATATTCAGCCACAGAAACCACCACCGCCATACCAACCATCATGAAGTACTTCACAGAACATCTTCCCACCAAAACCCACACCCACACTCTTCCGACTAAAGTCCATAACACCATCTCAACTGGGCTTCAAGGGCCTGCGGGTACTTCTAACCGCTCCTCTCGCCAAACACCCACCAAGGAAAGCGACAACGCATACATCAAGCGCATCGAAGAGAATACCGCCAGAGATGCTGGTGAAATAAGCCACAAGCGCGACTGCCTTGATCAAGCAATGTGGAAACGCCTCAAGAAGCTGGCAAAGAAGACATCGCATTGCCTTCAAAAGGAGCCGAACAGCGCTAAATCGGCAAAGAAGCCAAAGCAAAGTGCTCCGGCATACGGAGAATACTCCATGCCATACATTTTCTGTTAGACTCCAATTCCGATCACACTATAGGCTTGGAGCATCGTTCGTTACCGAACGCCACATACTGCGACGCCTTATTTGTTCCTACCTAGGTAGAGATGTAACCATTCAGGCTTAGCGTGCGGTATTTCTCTTCCACCATAACGCAACTGAAAAGGATTGGTGGATGCCGTTCTTTGAGGCATATAATTGTCATGAACTGGAGAGCCCCTCTGGTTCCTGTTTGCATTTTGGATTCCCGCTCGACTTTCGTGTGTTGCTGTTTTCGCGTTCCAGAGACCAATTGCTTGGGTATGGGCTCGCCGTATGAGCACCTTTACGGCAGTCATGGATCTATCTATCATGGTTTTAGCGAAGGAGAAGAGTTTTGTAGTGACAGTGCTGTTGTTTTATCGGACGGCAACGAATTCTCTGCTCGCAGTGAAGTGCCCAGCCACTTCCGCGACGCACACGGGTCATCACGACAAAGAAGAAGAGCGACGCGAGAAAACCTCTACGCTGATCAAGCGACACAAACGCATCCGTCTTATTCGGAGACGCCACACATGTGTTCAACACTCACGCCGTCCATTTACTCAACATTACCATCCGCTATCGCAACCTCCTTAAACACCACCCATGTCGACAACAACACTCCTTACAAAACTGAAAAGTCAAACTCGACCGTGCCACACCGCCGACTGAATTCGTTGAAGTCGTGCACACGAACCGACAGCGTCATCGAACTACACACCCTCATGCCCACGCATTCGAGTCGCTACCCACCCGGCATCGTGGTCATCAAAAGACTTGACGAACAAGGCAACGAATTAGTCGAGCTGACGGATCTGACGCATCAGATTACAGCGTTCACCGATCTGAAACGTACAGTAACTATAAGGGTCGAGCAAACTGGTGTTGTGCAAAGCACAAAAAGAGAGGGGTTGATGAAAAGGGCCTGGGAGAGGGTGGCCGATGCACTGGCGAGGGGTGATTGACGATGTGGTGGATATGTGAAGCATGGTATCGGAAACGCGTTTATTGTGCTGCTTTTAGGATAATAGTAGGTCCTCTAGAGACAATTCCACCATTGATAACTCATCCACTCATTCTCCTGCCCACCGTGTCTGTCTCCACTCACCCTGATGTAAACCGAAGCCTGCGCACTTATTCGTGCATCTCCAGCACAACTCCGTGTGGACCTCCATCGTTGGCACCGTAGTTCAGCTCAAACCAGTAGAGCTCCAAGTCACGCTTACTAGCCGGATGAATGACGAATTGCGCGGCCTTCTTCATGGGACACTCGAACCATTTGCTGACTACCTCGGATGCGCCGTTCGTCGTCAGAGTGTAGGCATCGTAGTGTTCGGTGATGGCGGGCTTGTTGTTCCAGGTACTGCGGCCGTTGACCAGCTTGGCTTCGATGCGAGAGATGCTGATAGCCATAGGAGCTTCGCCCTTGAGGGTAAGTGGAGCGTTCTTGAATGGGTCGACATTGATGAGAAAGCGCAGGCGGCAGATCTTGACGTTGTCAATCTGGGGGACGTCGAAGTTGATTGCTGTCCATTGTTCGGTGTCTGTCTTGTTCTGACCGACGGGTTAGTAGCTGGCAAGCTCATGATGTGGGTCTTGTAGACACTTACATTGCGGCTGACGGTCGCGTCATCCTGGGTAGAGAAGGCCGTGTCCGGCTGGGAGCTTTTCATGGGCAGAAGCAATGTTGGGAACTTGGTTTCGACCAGGTCAGCAAAGGCGGGAAGGCCGAAGAGGACGGGAAGGAGAGCGAAGATGCGCATTTTGATGTTTGAGGGGTCGATGATTGGGTGGAAGATGCTGATGTGTGAAAGCTGAAGCTGTTGATGCTGAAGTAGTGATGCTTCAGTGATGCTCTTATACGTGAGGAAGAAGTGCAGTGGTAGTGAGGTGGGGACGCTTGGGCGATGCTGGCTAACAAGCTAACATGACGGCTGTGCCGTCCTTGCAGACTTTCTTGTGCGAGGCAAGTGACAGTCTACCAGCAGCTAGGAAGTCGCATTGGCTGTGCCTGGGGAAGTCGCGGTCTGCACCACACCGAGCAGTACCAAAACAGGATCTACCCAAGAAGGCAAGAGCGACTCCGAGACCAAGTAGCACGATTACGTGGTCGTTTTGCTCAACAAGGCAGCGATGAGTCCACTTTTGGAATCAGTACAAAGTACGACGAAGCTGTCATTCGCGTGTCGGCAGGGCACGCTGGTATTGGCGTCCGAGATGTGGGTATGGTCGGGGCACCAGACGGGTAGCTACAGCAATTGATCGATCGCATTTGGTGGGTTGCTAAAGATACTATCTTGGGCGGATTTCTCTGCTTCTCTCGATGCGCAAGCTTATTTCTGCTAACGGTGGAGACGTCCATTAGCACTTGAGGGCTGTCAGCGACTAGGCCCGACAAGCGCCGTGTTGGGATAGCTATGCAGATCTGTATCCTCGCAACTCAACTTCTCTGAATTATCATATTAAGCTGTCCTACCCGAATCCGCATTCTAGTAGTGATAGAGGATGTAGATGACGCGGAATCGCGTGATATGGGCTTGAATGATGGTAATGCAGCTCTTTAGTCTGTTCACACCGCTCTGTCACGGTGCACGATGTTGCTTGAAGTGTATTGGCCTGTGGTTTGAATAGATCATACCAGAGTATTGCATTCGTGTGGTCAATTATTGCCGGTGTTCCCAGGATCCGGGCGGGGAAGGTATCACGGCACCATGATATGGTTCCAGCTGGTAGGCTCGTCTGAAACCCATTCGATCGTTCCTGGATATAGTGCCAAAGCAAACCACCGGCCTAGCATTGTTGGTGTAGCAACCTACAGCCATTCGCAGACTAAGCTTTCGGCGCGGAGCTATTGCAAAGATGAAGTACTCTAGACGCGTGAGATGTGGTAGTACGGTAACGTGGGACGAAGGCGGGGATGAAGGCGACAGTACACGGAGGCAGGTAGTTGCTCCTGGAAAGCCTCCTGATACTCTTCAAAGTACTTGGGGGTGGGACAATCCGGGGATAGCGCGGCTTTAGAGCCTCGGCAAGTGGGGCTTTCGTCATCGCTATGGCTGCAGCACCTCAACCGCAGCATCGCGCCACACGTTGACCCTACGCGTCGTTGTCTTACCAATTCGATGTCCTCTTCGGGTCTGCTAGAATGGCTTTCAGCTGGCGAACGCGACCCGCCTTGAGGCTTGGGGCTGCTGGACGCCCCTCGTTTCGCGCCCGAGGTATACCCTTCCGACGAAACCTCTACCTCGCGCCGCCATACCTCCTCGACGACTATATACCGCGATATCAGCTGCTCTCCTCAGTGGAAGCCGCTAAGAAGCGATCCCTGGCGTATGCTAATCTGCGCGAATGCAATCTCTGCCCCCGACTGTGCGGTGTCAACCGTTACGAGACGACAGGCACGTGTCTGATAGGAGCCGAGACGGTCAAAGTCAACACTATCGCTCCTCACTTTGGTGGTGGGTTAAAGTCGGCAATTTCTAGGTGTGTTCGTGCTGACACCGATCAGAGGAGCCCTGTTTCCAGGGACACAATGGCAGCGGGTCCGTCTTCTTCTCTGGGTGCAACCTGAGATGCGTGTTCTGCCAGGTATGCTGCCCTGTCCTTCATCGTAGCATACGCACTAACGCCGTGCCCAGAACCATGATATAGCCCACCAGCGCAACGGCTTCGACCTGACACCAGAGCAACTCGCCGAGTGGTTCATGAAGCTGCAGGACGTGGGCCGCGTCCACAACATCAACCTCGTTACACCCGAACATGTCGTACCCCAGGTCTGCCTATCGATTCTGCACGCGCGCGATCTCGGTCTGCACATACCCATCATCTACAACACGTCGTCGTTCGATTCGCTCGAGAGCATACACTTGATGGATGGCCTGGTGGACATTTACCTCCCCGACTTCAAGGTGTGGCGTGACGCGACGAGCCGTCGGTTACTGAAGGCAGACGGATACACAAAGGTGGCTATGGAGAGCATCAAGGCCATGCACGAGCAAGTGGGTGACCTCTGCTTTACTCCTGACGGCATCGCCAAGAAGGGAGTGCTGGTGCGACACCTGGTGATGCCCGGCATGGAGGACGAAGGACGAGAGATCGTGAAGTGGCTTGCCGAGAACGTGAGCAAAGACATCATGGTGCACATTATGGAGCAGTATTTTCCAAGAGCTCATGTAGGCAAGGAGCGGCGCGGCCGTGCAAGCCAGGGCGTTGTTGAGCCAGGCGGTGTTGAAGCCTCACCCTCGACTAAGAAAGACGTGCGATATAGTGAGATTAATCGGGCTGTAGACCTGGATGAAGTCGCATCAGTCAAGAAAGCAGCCCAAGAAGCTGGCTTGTGGAGGTTCGTCGAAGCATCGAGGCATGGCGGCTTTAACATCTGACGACGCCTGATGCGAATTACAATATGCGGGTTCCGGAGAAGGCGTGACCAGAACCCGTCCACAGCGCCTGCTCTTCGTAGGTTGCGCTTGCTCTAAACATCACCCAGGCACCAACTCGTCAGTAGCCGAGCCAACAGTCACATCCACCCCGTCATTTTGGACACCACCACAAACATATTGATTCGTGCATTGCTACGATGCCGCCGATCAGCATGGAACAAATCTCCGAAATCGAACGCATCGTCCATGACCTCAAGATCGACCGAGATACGTGGCAGGCTGTGGCGCTCCAATACAAAGCGGCCTTCGAAGCTCAGACATCCCGCCTACACGAACTGCAAAACGTGTGCTTTGCTACGCAAGCCGAGTTGGAAAACGAGCGAGCTCAACAACGTCTCCAGACAATCTCTGGCGAGCGCGAGAACCACCGTCCTGCTACCTTCGACGGTACTGAGGACCTTCACGTCAATTACACTTTTGGCACCGCTACTGTATGCTTACCGAAAGAGATCGAGCCAACTCACTTGCGACGGCCGTCCGAAGATTGCACCCACCCCTTGTTCAAGCGCGCGCAAGAGTGTACCGCTCAGCGTAACTACGGCACTGCCCTGGTCGAGGTTGAGCGACTCCTGAAAGGCCCGCTTAGCTACAAGGCTCGCGCCGAAGGCTTACTCTTGAAGAGCAATATCCTAAGAGCCTCTGGCCCCGATGAGCTCCTTGACGCGCTAGCTACGTGCAGCGAAGCCGTAGAGCTCTGCGACCGTCTCTCTGAGCTTCAGAACTTCTTGCCACGCATACAATACCAGCGTGGCCTGTTGTACTATGAGCTGCGTCAACTCCACCAGGCCCGAGAAGCCTTCAGCACCGTTTGCGACGACGACCTCTCCGCTAAAGCCAGGGAGTTTCGCAAGTCTTACGATGATGAGCTGGATCTGCTGCGCTGTACCAAGCGTCGGTCGGGCTTTGATGAGAACCGCACTATGGAAGGCTTGCTCGCCCAACTGGAGGATAAGGGCACAGAGGTAATTCAGCGTCGGTTCCAAAACCCTACAGCATACTGACCTCTCCTAGAACAAGCGCCGTCGAACCAGTGCGCAACTTAGGCAGCGCGCCGCCGCGAAAGCGAGACGAATGTCGTTGCCCTACCGCTGGGTCAAACCAAAGAGCGACGAACATCACCGAGAGTAATACTACCATGTCACACTGGTCCGTCATCATGGGAAGTCATGGCAGCAACACGCCGTTCAGGGGATGAACTTTTGGTACCACGCTTCTTTGTTCGCACAGACATAGCGGTTCAGCCACTACTTGAGGAGCCGTACAGTCCTTTGTGTTGGCGTTTTCCGCTTTCGCGCAGGGCTGCAGAAAACAAACAAAGAGTTGTTACGGAGAGCGTTACATCAAATGCGGCGCGGCTTGAGACATCCCCAAAGCACGAACATCTTTAGTCGGAAAGTTGATAGTTCTATGCCATCGCAAGACATCTTTGCCTAAGATTACTAAGAGCTTTGCTCTTCTGATTATTTCTTCGCGATGTTCGCAAACGTTCAGCAGCCCCTAGAGGTCGCAGCCCTCAGCCATGAGTCCCTCAACGGCGTCGCGAATCGTACTAACGATGTATCTGCATACATCAACAATCTCCCAACTCCCCCCACACACGACGAATCTTCCGACTGCGCATCGCCATCAAGTCAACCCTTTCGAGAAAGAGATCAACACATCAGCAACGAAACCCCTTCGAATATCACGCCTGAATCTAGCTCTAATGGCGTCCCCATTGAAGAAAAATCCAGCAACGAATTTAGGGTAGCCATGGGTCTGATCCAATGCCAAACGTACCTCAATCGTTGCGTAGTTTTGCAATCAATCATCAACTCCATGGAGCGCACACCCCGGGCACAACAGTCTAAGGCTGAGGCCGAGGCAATCGTACGGTCCTGCTACAAGAGAATCCATAGGTTTGCTGTCGAAGCATACCAACTTGCCGAAGCTAGATCTAGCCGCAGCCTACTCGCACGTTCCGAATACTGGTGTGGCCGTGGCTGTGGTGGTTTGCGCGAATGGGATGCCGCTGTGAGCCACTTCACGTCTGCTGTCAGCATGGATTTGTCAGACGTCTATTTCAAGGGTCTGCCACGTCAGCAAAGAGGTCTACTGAAGACTGAGAGGGAGGATGTCGACTTCCTACTCCAGAGCGTAACACAACGTTACAACGAATGGATTTTGAACGGAGGAGCGCACAAAACCGTTGATGATCAAGAAGCAAGCCCCAGTCCTACCGGGGTTATTCGAGAACAGGCACTGAAGGGACCGCGTTGGAGGCCACATCAAGAACACTTGAACTATCTGGCAGAGCAACAGTTTAGTACAGAAGGGTCTTCCGACAGACAGCTTAGCCACCTTCGATCGGGTGAGCACGCAGGTGTTTCCTTCAACGAGAAGGATGTGGCAGCTGCTGAGGAAAGGCTTAGTCTAAAGGATGACAAACAAGGGATTCGCAACACATTAAACGCTGATGAATGGTTCTACGTCCTACGCGGTCACAAGCCCACCAAGAAGCGTACGAATCACACTGAACATAACAGGGCTAGTGATCGAGGCCGCCAACACAGCGAACCATCCAAGCTTCCACCATCCGTCGCGTCAACCCATTTTAGAAGTGTCTCTTCACTCGAACCTTCTCATGACCCACGCAACGCACTCGACACCGCCGACTACGAAAGCAGCGGAGCGCCACCATCGCTCGTCGGAAGTGGCGGATCACCTTCATCTGAAGGAGAACGCGGATTGCCATCACCGACAGCAGGCTATTCCCAAGGCCGTCGCAACATAAAGTTAGCAGCTATAAGTACAAGCGAAATACGGAAAGACCCTAGGCTTGGTGAGGCTGTTCTGGGCTCCCTCTCGCCGACAGACGTGGAGGTAGACGATACCCATAACGAAGATGAGACAGGGGAAGTTGGGTCCGGCAACAGCATGGTCACATCGGCGGGGAGGGATTTGTCGGCAACCTATTAGTGGAGGATCGGGCGAGGGTGGAGATGTAACGCTATCTAAGGGTACGGGTGGGAACTGAGGATCGCGCTGCCTGTAAGAGGTGCAAATGGTTAGAATACTCCGGATGGATACGTCTGTTAGGCTAGTGATCTGGGTTATGTGCAACAGTCAATCGCCTTCTCAATCTGACGTTACCGTTATCATGTATGATCACGCATTCGAAGCATGTTTTGCATTAACGTTGGAAGGGATGATCGGTGTGTACAACTCTTTTCTCGGTAGACCTTTGTCCGTTTGTTCTAAGCATCAAAGAATGTTCGCGTATTCATCATGCCTTTGTCTGCCTACCTTCACATAAGACGCCTACTCCATATGTGCTACGGGTTCAGACCTTTGAAGAACACTTACAAACATCGCAGTCACACCACCAAACATACACATCTCTTTCTCAGCTTAAAGCAGCCATGTCATACATACCACCATCAGTACCGTCAGAACCCGCTCCACCAACTCTCGTCGACCTCTGGCTCACCGAAAAGCACACCTTCGTACACGGAAACGCATGGCGTTGGACTGATACCGGTTTCCTTATTCTCTTCATCCTCCTCTTCCTTTTCATAATCGGCCTAGTCTGCCAAGACGCGGATCTAACAGTCGAGCTCCTGGAGCTCAAAGAAGGCACATATGCAAAGCACATCGGAGGCACAGTCATGGCATACTTTGACGAGGGCATTCGCAACGACATGATCCAAACGTACATCAGAAATGGACTCGCAGCTAGTAAGAGGCGGTTAAAGCGCGAAATCACGGCTGAATTGATCGACGCATATCGGAAACGACAGCGTAAAGATGGTGCTGCGAGTGATCAACATGGCGCACGTCCTGTACCACGGGATGGTGAGGAGGCGGGTGAATTTGCTGAGCGCTTGAGGGAATGGACAGAGGAGGATTTAAGGCGTGAGACGGATGCGAGGGTGAGCCTTTGGTTGAGAAGGCCAACTGGGGAAACTGTTGGTTTGTCGAAAGAAGAGGCTAGGGTTATTGCTCAAGCTGCTGGTAGTGGTACTTGAGACGTTGAGGCTTCTGCATCTGAGTCGGATTCGCTGCGAATCAGAAACCACGATGAAGCAAGTCTGAACAAGTCATATTACGTATATGTTCAGGACGCATGCATTTCGATCTCAGTTATCTCTTCGACACCAGCGGCTGATTTGAGTGGTATGATACTCGCCCCGTTGTTGGTCATGCTTGAGCTCCTGCTTTCTCCTTCTGCAGGCCGCCAGTATACATGGCTGGGTCCGCTGTTCTTCTGGAATAGAGGTTTGTTTCCAAAATAATAATGATAGACAGATCGAGAGAGCGCGAGATTAGTGGCTATGATACCAAGGCATAACTCAGTCATGGCCCAAATGGCTACGGCAGAGTACTCATCTAGTCAAACTGAGTTAGTGCAGCTTTATTGCAGCGCGAGAATCTTCACGTACAGGCAATATCCTTTGCTTTCGAATTAAGTGTTTTCGCCCTGACAGCAGAACATGCTGTGCAGATCAGTCCGAGAGCCATCAGCGTCCAAATCGATACCTTCCTTCTTATGGGCAACTGGATATCCCGCGTAATGATAATAGGAAGCAAGGAGCATATGAGATCGGTGATGATCGATATGCCTAGGTGTCAAGTAAGCTTTCAGATCAGGAAATGGCGTTCGTATGCCTTACCAGCTTGTGCATAAATCGAGTATATTCGTACTTCTGTAGGCCAGCACGTGCTTGGTCCCGAACGCCAGTAGAGGCTGATAGGCTGACATTGGGCCAACAGGACGATGATGACCTCAAGGGCAGCAATAACTAGAACAGAGATGATGCAGCCAGCAAGCCATTTCATCTGGCTGGAGTGTTTGATTCGAGTCATGAGCAGGCAGACCGAGATCTTGACCGAAGCCATAGCAGCAAAGAGAACAAGCTGGGCGTACCAGCTGTACATGTTGATGAATTCCTTGTCGCCCTTGGAAAGTGACGCACTGGGTCTTCCCTTGCCTCTCGTCACTGCCGTGATGGTAATTGCAGCCTCAATGACCGTGAGCATCATCGCGACTGCGATGGTGTGGTCATCCCAGCCGAGGGCTCTGCGTTTCCTGCGAACCCAGAGCCGTAGAACGGTGGTGAAGAACGCAATTGTTGTAGATAGCACCGAGACGGTGATCAATGCAGGACCTCTGTCTGCGATCATCGGGAATGGCTCTTGAGGCTCAAGTAACGAAATGGTTCCAAGATAGTCACTGTCATGGGGATACTTAACTTATTTGTGGCACGACCAGACCAGCATAGGATCCTTCTGGACAGCAACTGTAGACGCATAATCCACAGTGCTTTCCGCAAAAATCACCAACAAGGTACGAGCTTAAACTCTGCACCAAAGTTACGCCCCGATCTATTGCGAAACCTCGTATGGCGAATAGCTTCGCTTTCAAAGGATTGGGTCAACGCTGGGAACGCACCGCGCGGCCGAAGAATCGCTCAGCTGCAGGGGTCGACTGGGAATGATCGTTCTTGTTGGCTCGCTTCATACCGTTCATAGCCGCGACGCCGGCGGTTTACCTGTGCTTGAGAGCTCATGGATCTCGATGTACTATTGCACGACGGCTCAGCATGACCATTTCGACACATGGCAATGGCGGTGTTATGGTGATTTGAGGTCAATCAGCAGATGGCGTAGCGAATGGGAAGACATGGCTACAAACACGGGGAGTGTAGCAATCGCGCTCGCCAGGCGAGCCCGGTAACGCTGCTGATTTGGGCATGCAAGGTATCTGGCATGGAGAGCGTTACGTTACCGGGGATCGAACCAAACGGTTTTCCCGCCTTGGCGCAGGCAAGGATTCGTATCCATGCGAGCGATATGCAGGCGCATGCATATCGGCTGTATCCATACGAGGCGTTGACCAATTGAAAGCGTCAAAAAGAACTCGTCAGACAATCCTTCCCGGACTAGACAAGACGCCTTACAATCTCGACATCTTGTGTGGACTATCTCCGTGACACGGCAGCGGTTCTCCGAAGGATCTATCTGAGCTCAATTGCCGTAGCTGGAAGGCGCATGTTGAGCCTTCTTTGTTGGCCAATGATGGATAAAAATGGGCCTGGATGAACCGTTGGCAATGCGGCCCTGCTCTAGACAGTCGTGCGATATCTCCG